CTGCTAAGCTGCCCAATGGAGTGAGCCCATGATAAATATTTTCATGCTACTGTATGAGTCTTCCTACTTTCCTCAGACCTGAGGGGAGGAGCGGGGCACGGTGCTCCAAAGGGTGCTGGGGAAGGCATGGAAAGAAACCCCACATAGCCCCTAGTTTGCCTCTTACCTAGGCACCCCTCCACAGGATCCACATCAGTGAGGGGTTCCCTCAGCAGCAGCCCCTCTCCACACCAGCTTTTAGACCTCTTTAGGAACATTTAACACACTACACACAGTGCCTCACATAGCAGCTCTTGCTCAGGGTTACGTCTTCCTTTCCTGGCACAGCACATGCAAATCAATGGGTTGCTTTTATGGTTTGCGTTTTGGGTTGGTTTTTTTCCCCTCCCTGAGGAGCCTCAATTTCTATTCCAAGGCAGAGTCGTGCTTCAAACACACGGAGCAGCATATGTTATTTCTTCACCTACCAATCAAGATGCTAGAAGAAACCAGCCTGGTACTTCTATATCTGTCATTTCATAAATGCTAGGCAATACCCTAGAAATGTCTTCATCGCAGCATCTGATCTGTCCCCACCAGACAGCCCAAGAAAAGGAAGCTATACAGCTGACAGAAAGGAGCCAGGCTACAGCAACCCAAAGGCTTAGTCTTAAAGTCATTTCAGTGGCTAGAAACAAGGAGAGCAAGTTTGCCACTCGTCTTTAACACCCTATCTGCACAAATGTCCCTGAAGAGTTCACACAGTGCAAATCTGGCTACACCAACTCTGCAACCACTTGACAGAATCCTGAGAGTCCATACGCTACTATGACAGCCCCTGACAGTTTCACACCAATAGAGCCAAAATGGAAAAGGAGAACCAGCACATTTGGCCTGTAGTTATCTGGCAGCGACAGACACAACTAAAGGAATTGGTTCCAAAGGCAATCTGTGGCATCATGGGGCAGCGAGACCCCAGGAGTTCCGCAGGAGCCAAGCAAGCATTGCTTCAGAGGGCAAGGGGACAGACAGAAAACAGCAGCAGTTCTCAGAATAAGCCTTGCCCCAAAGTCCAAAACTAAGTTACAATTTCTCAAAGCAGTCTTTCAGTCAAATATATTTGAGGAAAATTAAGTTCCCTTCAATTTAGAGAGAGCCCATATCTTAAAATGCACCAGAGGCACAATCTTCTAAAAATGTTTCTCCTGCTATGTCTTACTGTTTAATTATATATTACCATTTCAAGCTACCATGACAGATTTTAAGTGAGTTTGTCTTTTTTCCATAATTAATCATAGCAAAGACTCATCTGTTTTTCAAGCCCGTGATGACAGCACTGTTTTCACCACTGTAAGGCAATCATCCCACAGCATTCCTTCCCAAAAGCTATTGCAATAAGAAAAGCTCACCTATCTGCACAAGATGCCTTTAAAAGATATAAATCAGCTCCACATACATTACTTCACACAACAGGGAAGTTAATAAAAAGGAAAACTGCTTTTCCATAGCAAGCCATTATACAGACACACAGGCACAGTACAGGCTAATAATGCTAAATAATACCAATTATAAATACATAACCCCAGCATAACCATCCAGGAAAAAAAGTAAACCCACTAAACACCACTCAGCCACCAGCATCCACCACTGGTACAGAAAAAAGGGAGGCAAACAGGTCGTTGGTCTTTCTGAGAACAAAAAGCAGCTTCCTTTATAAACTCAATAACCACAAGTTATTTTATAGGCAGCTTTGGTCACCATCAAATATTATTATGAGTGCAGGAGAGGTCTCTTCAAAGATTACCTGTAGCTACATGTAGATCAGTACTAACAGACTATGTAATCAGGGAGGAGCTATATCCAAAGCAGAAAACAAATACTAATTGGACAACAGGAAAAAGTCTTCCTTCTTTCATTCCAAGTCACAGAAGTGACATTAAGGGCATAGAAAATCTCTGCTCTGGAAAAAAAAACAAGCACTCATCACTTGTAACAGATTATAGCACATTCATTTAAAATTTCTTTGCTGACCACTGAAGGAAAAAGTGTTTCCAATATAATCGACAACATACAGAGATGCCCATTCAAAGTGTTTTATCCTTCATCCTCTTAATTTGAGAGGAAAGAACAAATGAGATACTTGCAAAATTACTTTCTCCCAGCTGTGAAATCCTATGGCAAGCCCACACTTTTTTTTTTTTTTTTTAAGTGACAAATGGAAATCCTGTTAATTTATTTTGATTGATCTATAGAGAAATCACGATTTTCTGCAGTTCTCCTAAATCCTTCATGTGGCACACTGGCAGCTGCCCAATTACAAGTCTAAGAAAAAATTACATAGCTTGTTCTGCTAATAAAAACAAGCATAGCTGGGCGCCACACAGCCCTGAGCAGGTGTAAAACTTTATGTGTCTTAATACAGTCTCATAAGAGTGACTTTAGATCAAAGCTCAATAACCTACACACTGCCTGTACTGACAGTGCCACCTTTATGGCTTTCTAGCTGCTTCACAGTTTTAGAAAGCAAGATAACTAAAGCAGCAATGACTACAAAAAAAAAAAAAAAAAAAAAAAAAAACCCAAAAAAAAAAAAAAAAAAAAAAAGACAATATATTCAGTTGACAGACTGCTAAAGACTAAAGTTTACATTTGTATCAAAATATTTAGAAACATTTTTACTAGTACCACTCTTTGTTAAGGCCTGACCCAGAAAGATTCTGGCATTTCAAATTATAATTTCCTTCCAAGTTGTTACAAGAAAAACAACAAAAAAGACTTAGCCATAGATCTTAAACATCACATCTAGAACGTGAATGGTTTTAAATAACCACAATATCCTGACAGCTTGGTGATCTGTTCAGAAGAGATGAAGACAAACATTGAAATAAACAGAATTGCCCAGGAGAGCACAGAGAAAGTGATCTTTACACAGAACATTATACATCTATCTTCTTTTATTTACAAGAATAGAGTAAACTGTTTTCAGTATGCTTATTTAAAAATGCATAGGAATAATACACACTCAAAAAATATTATGACATATTAAATCACTTGATCACATATTAAACCATGCAGAGTTTTTCACCCACAGTGTTTTTTGTATTTTATTTATTCAGTGAAAATATTCAGTGCATATTTGCATGTGCTCCCTAACCAAAGTGTTAAGAGACTTCCCACATCACTGGTGCTAGGAACTTACAGAGTAGCAAGAAACAGAGCAGCCTATTTTCTGTGACAGCAAAGTATTGTCTTTTTACAATCTCTTGAGTCTCAAAAGCCACACAGATGCCTTAGCTACCCCAAATATTAGTAAGTTATAACACTTCTACTGCATTTCAAGTCATTTAGACTGAAGAGCATTTCATGCTGGAAAAATCTTCTCCCCAAAAAACCCCTCAGTTTTCCTTTCTAAGCATCAAAATTAGCATTCTCTTTCCATAATATCTAGGAAAATTAAAATATCTTCTCCTCAGTTCTGACAACTACTCTTTAATTTGCTGTCATCTGTACTTCAGGAAACTTCAGTCCTTTCATTAGGAAAACCCTCCCACAGATTTACTTGTAGTGAATGGTTCAGATCTGAGCTACAGTAGTACAGTAATTTATTTGAAGAAATCACATATCCAGATCCAAACTAGCATAATAATTAAAAAAAAATATTTAAGATCAGTCATCACTCACGATTTTTAAATTAATGCACAAGTCTTTTAGCCTTGTATTCAAATTTACAGCATTTTCTCATGCCGCTGAAGAAATTCAAAGTGGTTGTAACAGGAAATTTACAATCATCTGCCCCAACCAAAACAACAGAACCTACTGCACAATTTGTTCATTCATGAAAAACCTCCAATACATCCACATTTCCTCACACACCTTATAAAACTGTAGTACTTATATACACACATACAAATGGTCTGCAAACTATCCCCACACTCAAGGCCCATAAAGATACTGACTACACACAATCAAATGAAGTTATGTCCAGAGTAACAGCAGAAAAGAAAAAACACTACAGAATTCAAAATTAAAAACCCACAAGCATCTATTTCATAAACTGCTCTTCCAGAAGAGGAATACTCAGAAAGCAAAGGTCTAAGAAACAAACTATTCAAACACCAATGGGATCCAGATCAAACCCACATCCTATGTAATCTGACATATCAAATCTCAACCAACTGAAGATCTACAGTTTTTAACATGTGGAAAACTTTTTTTAAAAACCCAAACTACCGCTAGGTTTGCTAGATATCACAGGAAAATCTTTTGATAACAGGAACATTTTGCATGTAAGAAATGCACAGCCTCAGACTGTGAGGCTGAGGAATCCAGCATCCAGTCTCTGAATGGAGCACAAATTTCTACCAAGGTTTAAACAACTCTCAGCTGTCCCTCCAAAACCTCTGCTCTCCCCCTGCTAAGGGACAGTACCTCACTACCCAACATCCATCAGAGCCTCAGGAGACCCCAACTCACTACAACCAAACAAAATCCACGTTTTCGTAATAACCTTCAGATCTATTACATGAATGTTTTGCTGGAGGAAATGCCTGAGTGAGTAGCCTTAGACAACTGTTTTACATTAAGGAGGAAGCACATTAATTTACTGCATGAGTACTAGCGCGATGCACTTACACGAGGTACAATGTTGCAGCCACAGTTTCCATTTTCAGTGTCTGAGAATAAACACGAAAGCCACCAACACTACGTTGCATAAGAGCACTTCAGGCACATGGCTATTTACAAAAGTAGAGGTAATTATGATGCCAGAGGTGGATCCCAAATAAACAGACTTGACTAATACTGACAAAAAAACCCAAAACAAAACAAACCCTGAGATGTACAATTACTGTTACTCAGTAACAGTAGGGGAGCTGCAGGAACAGCCTCAGTCACTAGCTGTACTACCAACATATGCCAAAAAAAAACCAATGGACAAAGGTGTTGTTTAAAAATGTCAGCTTATATCAGAAGGTATGGGTAGAGGAGAAAAGAGGAAAACACCGTTCCCCTCGACAATTTACCTGATCTGGACTTGATGATGTCGCTGAACTCGCTGTGTCCCCCGCCAGGTCCTTCCTCCTGCTCGGAGACACGGGCCATGCTCGTGGGCTGCGGTGTGCCACGGGCGGAGCCTAAATCCGCTGGGAAAAGGCTCCCATGGAGGGCCACGGCTCAGCACCTACAGCACAGGACCAGGAGCAGAAAGGCACGATAACTCCCCGGGCTATGCCAGGTGTGACTCCGCGTGCGATGGGAGGGATCGAGACTTGCTGGCCATGCCCACGCGAGTCGCGGGGCAGCCGACCTGCCATTCGCTGTGCCCCTGCAGAGGGACACCTTATGGAGCATTTAAAAAGTGGGATGGCCCTGAAGGTGCAGCAGCACAGCTGAATCCTCAGCCGCGAAAGCCAAGCTTCACACACCCTTGGGCGACAGGGCGCCCCGTGCCCAGCCGTGACCCCCGGAGGAGCAGGACACGGCTCTCGCCGCGACACCACGGCCACCACGGGTCCCCCGGCTGGCACCGAGCGGGACAGCCCCGCTCGAGTGGTGGCACAGCGAGGGAGCTCCGCTCCCGCCGCGCTGGGGCGTGTGCCAGCAGCAAAGGGGTACAGGCAGGCGCGCCGCCCCGGCCGGCCCAGGGCGCGACGGCCACGTGTGGGAGAAGCCACGCAGCCCCTCTCGCGGGTGGGGGGAGCGGAGCTCCGCGGGGCAGGCCCCGGGCACGGCCGCCCCGGCAGAGCGGCCGCCGCCCCCGCTCCCCCGGCGGGGATTTTGACCCGGCAGCCGGCCGGGCGTGCCGGCACCTCCTCCCCGCGGGATGCGCGGCCGCAGCAGCGGCGCCGCCGCCCTCGGGCACCCCTACGAAGGAGCGGCTCCTCGAGGCCGCTCCGTCCCGCCCGCAGGTGCGCCGCCCCCCGCCCCGCGACGTTCCCGGAGCTGGGGAACAAACTTTCCCCGCCGAGCCCCTCCCGGTGCCGCGGTGCCGCCGCCTGCCCGCAGAGCTGCCTCGCTCCCAGAGCTGCCGGAGCAGCCGCCGACAGCAACTCTCCCCGGCCGCCACTCACCCCTCGGGCACGGCGGCGGGAGGGGCCGCGCTGCCCCACGGCGCTGCCCGGCTCCTGCTCGCACCCCGTCCTCCGGCAGCGACTCCCGCGGCGCTGCGCTGGCGGACCCACAACTTTCTGTGCGAGCCGCCGCCGCTGCCGTCCGTCCTTCCCCTTCTCCTCCCCTTTCTTCCCCGCCCCTCGCGGCCCGGCCCTGCGGCGGCCCCTCCCTCGGCCCCGGCACCCCCTTTGTTGGCCGGGCCAGCGCCGCGGGTGCGGGAGGGCCGCCCCGGCCGCGGCCCCTTCTCGGAGCGAGGGGCGGGGAGGGGCCGGGCCGGCGCGGAGGGGAGGGGAGGGGAAGGGAAGGGTAGAGAGGGGCGGAGCGGGTCCCGGCTGCGCCCCCGCTCCTCCCAGGACCCCGCCTGAGGTGGTGTGGAGAGTTGTCCCGCTCCCCTCCTCTCCCGCGGCCTTCCCGTCCGCACCTGTGCGCTCCCGCCGCTCCTTGTGCTCCTTTCCCTCCCCGGATAAGCGCAGTTGCGCAGCGCTTCGGAGGTGAAGCGCCCCGCGGCCTCCCATGAACACCGAAGTCAGGAAGTGTGATAAAATTTGAGAAGCACTTAGGAAATTTACAAACAGCCGGAAACAACTATCCCAAAATCCGCCTGCTTTGGCCAGGTGTCTATGTCTCATCTCACGGGGTCACTTGGCAGTTGTCACTTGGCAGTGACAACTCCCGGGTGGTTTTCGGCTGGGCAAGAAAGGAACAGTTATGGATCAATAAAAATGTGATGATGCTGGGTGTCTGCAATCATTTTTGATGTATGAACATACATAAATGCTAGTAAAATATTTAGCTGACACTAATTAATTTATTGCCACATTTGCAATCTGGGAATGAACTTACTCCTGTTTGCACAGGCAAGTTATCCGTGCTCACCTGTACTGTGAGGCTGTAGAACACGTGGCTGTATTTACCTCGATAAGCATTACTCTGAAGTTTCAGTAGTATCAGAGAGAAACTGTAGCTGAGTAATTCCTTGGTGTTACCTACCAGGCCTCAGGCCATGCAGCCCAAAATGTTTTCAAGGTTAGATGCATTCCCAACACCAAGTACTTCACCACCTAAATAAGAAAGGCCAGCAATCTGTGGGAAAGGAGGTGCAGAATTTATTAGCCAGCAGAAAGGAGGAAGCACAGGCTTGGCAACATACTTATTCTGTATCTCCAGGTGAACAGAAATGGTAGCAATGTGAAACAAGGAAGATTTGTCTTCGAAAGTCTTTTTTCTTACCAGTACACAGCTCATAGGTTTACTAGGCACTACAGATAACAAGAGTAAACAATGACTATGTGCATGTTAGCCTAACCTAACTTTGATATTTAACCTTACTTTACTATTTCCCCCAAGGAAAAAAGAGATTCCTCAAAGAAACAAAACCTGGAACCTGTAAATTATTATTACTGTAATTCTAACTGCATTTAATATTTTTTTCCCTCAACCTTTGATTGGTGCAGTACATGGGATACAGGGACTGGGTCTTTTGCTTCTGTATTGCAAGATGGAAGGCCTTGAATATAGTGTGCTACATTTTTGCATTTCAAAGAAGCCTAAAAACAAAGATGCCTAGTCTGGATCATTCCATAGCTTTCTTGGTGATTCAGTGCAAATTAGTTAATTCATCCTTGATCTGCTTAATCCAAACCACTGCATGAAGTCATTAATGGTTCTTACTTATACAGGGATAATAATAATGTGTCGAAAAATTTGGATTACTGGAATTGTGAATCTGTTGAGAATTGCAGCTCATGGACGACAAACACTATAAAAACATGGACATCGATACCTATCAGTGTCTAACTGTAAGGCAACACTGAGCAGTACACTGGATTTGTTGGAAAGGTATGGTCTGTGTTTATGCCTATTTATTTACATTACACTGAAAAACCTGTACTGCAAACATAATGTTTGTGGTTAGAGAAGCATCACTTGTTCCCTGCTGCTCTTGACTGGCTTTTCAGCCCCATCCCATGCATTCCCTCTGCATGCTGGATTTTCAATGCCCAGTAACAAACACCCAAACACTGGAAACCCACAACCCAGACCCAGCTGCTTTTCACACACTTCAAGAGACATAAAACCCTGTGTAACCCAGTGCCCACTCAAGAGTCAGCACAGATGGAGACTGTCACTTCCCACTGCTGGGTATCTAGCAGCAGTGCAGGGATAGGGATCACAAAGCACAGCATTGCCTTGCCTAATGCAGGGAAATGCTAAGTGAAAAAAAAAAACAAAAAAACCTTTCTTTTGTGGGATGCACTGAGGGGATTACACCTTCCACAGAGGTTACCCAAGACCGCTATCATGTAGCAGTAACTTTTATTGCTAAAAGCTGCAGTCAAACTGATAAGCAAGGAGGGAAGAGCTGGTATATCCCATTTCACATCTCTGTGTCTAAGTCCAAGGTCCCAATTTTTACAATCTTGCTCTGTAAGCACCTAAAAATTATTTCTCAAAAAGAGACATATTTCAGTTTTATCTTATAGAATTTCATGTTTTTTCCTGTTTTAGACAGAAGTATCATCATTATGTTCCTTTGAATTATAAAGTGCCAACAGAAGGGTAATAGAATAATGAGACTGCACACTACCTCAAGGAAGCAGGTTAATTTCTTCCTGGTGTGTTTCAAACATGCCCATCTCTAGAGCCATCCTTACTCTACTGTTGATCAAAGCCTGGGTTTTCTGAGTTAGTTGTTTAGACTATAGGCTTCTCATGCAATGGCTATAATTTTTATATATACAATTATATATACACAATATATCATTTTTATAGGGTCCTTAGGCACATCTCCATCAGGGGAAAAAATGAAAATACCTTAACCTTTAATATTCTGTATATGTATATGCTTTAGGTCTCTCTAATTTTTTATTCCAGTGATTGGCACAATTAGAAATTGGCGACTAGCACAATTTTAAAGTCAAACAGCAAAGTCTCCACTCAGTTGTATATGTAAAACCTACATTCACCTACAAATACCTATGGACCATTAATATCATGTGGATTGTGTGGCACAGCTTACTTTTCTGTATATGCAGAATAAAATAGGAAAATAAAGGAAAAGTCCATTAACCCCTTAGATAATGTTCAAAAATATTAAAGGAATACAGAAAAGAAAGGGGACAGAGAAAATGTGAGGCCCTTGAACTCTGACCAAAATAAAGAAATACTTTATTTCTTGGTGCATAAAGATAATGCTGTTGTGAGGCTCTGAACTCATCTTACCTTGTCTCCTTCTCTTTTCTGTGTTCTTAGTATTCCTGTTTTTAGAATACACTCATAATTGACAGGATTACAATATAACTAGGAATTTTGTGTATCTCATTACCTTGAGATTGACTGCTGTAATAATGCATGTGCCCATTCATCAATGTTTTGTCATGATTTCAGAAAACCATTCCACATTCAGTAAGACAGGAGATACCAAATGGATTGCATTGTAAGTAGAGCATCTTTATTGCCCGTTTCTGCATAGCCCATCATGATGTCAGTCTCAGTTATCAGATCAGGCAAGATGTTGCTCAGCAGACTTTTTTTTTCCCGGCAGAACTTGCATCAGAATTCAAGTTAACAGCTCCTTGGTGCTTTGGTGCTGATTTTGGAGCACTAACCAGTTAGTACAAGTACCTTAATATTAGAGATAATTAGAGATAATTTTCATTATCTCTAATCCAAGGAGAAAAATATATTAAAAAAACCCTTTAAACATTCTCCCTCTGTATGTTCCCTCTAGTGAGAAACCCTCTCTGTATGTTCCTCTAGTGAGAAAAATGACCAAGTTTTTTTAAAAGCTTTGGTCAATTTTATCTTCAACTCTTTTGGCAGTGTCTGAAAAACTTCAGTACATCAGAATAACATAGTTAGCTGATTTCTCATCCTTTCTTTTTCTGTAATTTAAAATCTTTGGAGTTATCTTTGTTTCAAGCATCTCACACTAAAATATGCAAAGTCAGAATGATTTTTAAAGGTGGGCCAGCATTTTCTACCTCTGACTTTTTAGGATGGGATCTGATTTTGATATTAAATTGTTTATTTTTATTCCAAAGCCAGCTGCCTTTGTGTGCAATCTGCTTGTGATCTCCTCCAAGAATATAAACATAGCTTAATGAATTCAACACTGTTTTGCTATACCAACTTAACCATGTATCAGGAGCTACTAGGTGCAGAGAATGGACTAAGGCAGAGGGCAGCAGGAATCCTGATAAAGACACCAGCCCAGGGTGCAGGATGCCCTTTGAGCAAAACGCCTGTCACACATGCCACCACAGGTCCACCTGCTTTAACGTAAAGAAAAGGCAATATATTCCCCTTGCATACTTCCATTTCTACAAGTTGGAATCTGTATCTTCAGTAGATCCTTTCCACTCTATTTATATCTTATTTGATTTGATATATCTATCGATTAGATCAGATTCAAGGGAATATTGTGTGCATAAAATATACTGGAAACTTGTAGCTTAAGTTTCAGCATTTTTTTATAGTTTCATTATAAAACCCCAGAAAACTGCTCCATATTAATAGAAATGCTTACATCCCTTTAGCTGCAGTGACATTAATTGGAGTTACCATAATTTATCATCATTCTGAAGAATATAACCTCTCAAAGTACATTAAATAAGAGTGCATTAATGACCAATTACAATAATCAATTTACCCTCCCAGCATAAGTCTCTTAACTGCAGCAGAGGATTGAAAAAAAGAAAACCATCAACAACAGAGATGCCTGTTCAAGACAGGAACCTTTGACCAATGCTGCGAGGCAATCCCCTGCAAGGGCAGGTGCAAGTTCTTAGTCAAAGTCACTCCTAACACAAGTTGAACTCTGTTTGTTTATTTCCTTTTTCTGTTTATTTGTCTCACTCATGGCTATTTTTCAGTGCTGTTCCATTCCTATTTGAATAGCCCATTTGCATATGCAATATATTGGCATAGGCTTGTTCAGTGGCTAGACACATAAATACTTAATGCTTGTACAATTATAGGATATGTACATTTTTTCATCAAGTTTATCAGTTAAAGATTAGGCAAAGAAACAGAATTCCTGTATTAACACAACATAGGAACTTGGTTAATTTGCTTCATTTCTGTAAATTTTTTCACTCTTTGTAGTAGGGAGGAAAATAGCATCTTCCATCATGAGCACATTATCTATTGAGTGAAATAACGTGATAATTGGACAATTTGGAAACACTTTAAAAATGAAAGATCTCACCAGTCTGCAAAAATAATCAGTGGAAAGGA